AAGCCATGTCCACCCGGGCTCTCGCCGGCTCGTCGCGTACAGCACGAGTTCCTCCTCGAGACGCACGAGCGATCCAAACTGGCTTCCAACGATACTCAACCACTCCGCTGGAACTGCGTTGCCGCCTCGCTGCACACACTGCTCCTTGAAGCTCATGCAAAAGTGCTCACTTGCAAGGAAGTGGATGCGCCGCTTGAGGCACGGCAGGCATGGGCACTTCAGAAAAATGGCGTTTTCTGCGACGGCGGTGAGCGGCACTGCACGCGCCAGCACTGGGCAGTCGTGCGCGTGCGCGGCGCCCCTATTGGAGCCGTGGCTGGTGGCGGCAATGAGGTGCGCGGCGGAGATGTGCGTCCCCGTCTGGAGCGGCGGATCGAGGCGCGGGAGCAGCGCGGGCAGAAGTTTCTGCAGCTCTCCCGTCACACGCGCCGCCACCGCAGCGGTGCACAGAAGCGCGGACGTGCGCCTCAACATCGGGGCCGCGGGCGGGGGGTAATCCTACACAAATGTCCTCTCCCTCACTCTACCGGCGAGTGGAATGGGAAGCAAGTAGACTGACTCCAGCACAGGAGACAAAGCAGGAGAACAGGTGTGTTTGTGTAAGAGAGATATTGAAACAAAGGAAGGGGCGGGTGACTCTGAGAAATAGAGGGCGAGGGACGGTACAAAAGCACAATCCACAGCAACAACAAGAGGTACTATTCCATCTACGCTCGCAAAAGAATATCCTCAGTGTGTGAAACTCGCAGTACAGTCACCCCTTATACCGTTCGGTGCGTGTACCACTCAACTTTATCCTGTGTTTTCTTTAACTTGGGCTGAAGCGTGTACGACTTCCCGTACATGACAGCGGCCTCACGCAGCGTCTTGTCCACCGTAGTAGCTGCATTATTGCTGCGCGTGCGCACCCTTGTGAGGAGAGCCTTACCTACACTATCGTCACGTATTTTGTTCTTGACGTACAGCTGCAACCACCGCGATGCGTTTTCGACAGCCATACTGCTGGCGAGGCGCAGCACAGCTTTGCCCACCACACGAAAGAAGATGTTGGGGAGTTCTGGAGACGCTGTCGCCGCCTCGAGGAGGCGCATCAGTGTGTTCTCGTCGGCACGCTGCACGGTGGCCGCAGCACAGCGACACACCGCTGCGAGTGCCTCCTTGTCACGCACTACATTAACGAACGCACGCCACACATCCTCCACCTCGAGCTCCTCCGCAGCCAGCGGGGGGCGCGACTTTAGCGCCGCCGCTATCGCAGACACGTGCGCTTCACCACCGTCCGTAATGGCGAGCAATAGGAACAGATCCAACGTCGTCAGCTCGTCCGGCAGTGCTTGGGCAAGCACCTCCGCCCCTGGAAGCGCAAGCAAAGCAAGGCGCTGCTTCTCGTTGCAGACGGACGCCACCAGCACGATGTCAGACACGCTCCATCCCTCCAGCGAGGTGATGTGCGTCACCAGTTGGGACTGTTGGAAGTACGGAGTGAACTTCAGCTTCTTCGCAGCTGACGCAATGGAGGTGATGGACTCTCTATCCGGCTGCGCCTGTGCCAAGTGGGCAAGCAGCGCGCGGAACATGAGAATGTCGCGGGACTTGAGCGCGACCAGCACGTCGCACAACTCCTCTACCTGTACCGCTGTCAGGGTGGCGATAGACTTTGAAACGCCTGTCAGTAGCGCTGTTTTCAGTGAGGCGTCATTCACTTCGAGCTGCACGAGTAGTTTCACGATGTGGATCCTCTCACCCACTGTCATCCCCTCTTGACGCTGCTGTTGCCGCTCCACCGCCTCACGCACCACTGCGTACACTTTGGAGTCACTCGAGAGACGGCCACCCTTCGCGATACTGAGAGCCTCCAACAACATCGACACTGTTTCGATGGACAGAGTGCTTCTGTGATTAGCGCCGTGCTTCCGGCGGTCAAATTTGCGCGTGGCGGCGAAGCGGTGGAGTGCCTCTTTGAAGAAGACGCCATCCACCGGCTCCCCCGCATGGGCTGCGGCGTACATCACCCATACAGCGTCCTCCTGGGTAAAGGATGGCAGCGCGCCCTGGAGGAAGGATGCCATGCAGCGCGACACGAGCTCTGGTGGAAATACCCGAAGCTCCGACATGCAGCGCACAACAGATTTTACTGCAGCTGGCGAAAGCATTTTCTCTGTCTCCTTTATGCGCTCCACGAGTCCCGAGAGCAGTGCTCTTGCTTCTTCTGGTGCAATCAGCGACATACCGCGCAGTTTCCACAACAGCACGTCGTCAACTCCCTGAAGCTGCGCCTTGGATGGGGAGGCTAAAACGCGTTGAAGTTCCGCCCGAAGGCGATAAGCCGTGCCTGGCATTGCTGCAAGGCTGCAGCAACAATCAAGCGTGGCATCCGCTGACATGGCAGGCAAAAGACTAAGCAGCAACTGCTCCAACTCTGCACTGGGCGGTGTGAGCCGCACCACTGCCATTGCGCGAAGCAGGCCAATGACATGCGGTACGTTAATGCTGCCGGGCGATTGTCGGCACATCGCCGCCTGCAACGCGTCGACCCACACGGCGTCGGCGGTGCGTTGCGACGCCAGCGCTTCCGCCACCTCAAGCACCTGCACGGCGCTGAGTGAGTTACGCGTGCATGACAACAGCAACTGACGAAGCTCGGCAAGACTCTCATTGTGTAAAGGAATTTCCAGCTGGACACAGAGGCACACCGCCCAGCCAGTGTTGTCGTTGTCATCTTCACTACACCGCCCAATGCGTTGCGCAGTGAGAGACGCGAGTTTCTGTGATACCGCTACGGCTGCACCGCGCACCGCGTGCCGTGACGCTGTTGATGCCAATGATGTCGGAGGAGAAGCGACCCCAGCACTTGTAGTGGTAACAGTCGTAGTAGTGGAACCAGCAGCAGAAGCAGGAGTTAACGATGAGGGGTGTGACGGGGCGGTGAGCACCGCGCGCCAGTATGCGGCACAGAATGTCAGATGCTCTTCTAGCGTGAGGCCGCCCAGCAGCTCCGCGGCGCGGTTAGTGAACCACGCGTTCTCGAACACTACGCGTGACCACAGCGGGCCGGAGGCGGGTTGCTCCTTTAGCCGTCTGCCTATTTCCAACAACTGCGCCGACGTCACCAGCACCGCAGACTCCGCGAGGAACTCACCGGCCCTCGCCTCAAGGTGGCTCCCCGCCGGATAGGCGCTGCGGTGCATCAAGTATACGAGCTCCACCGCGTCGTCGACGTCCGTGAGGACGTCCTGCAGCTGCAAGTCATGCATGTACGCGCGGGCCTGCTGCAGCTGCCGCGATTCGCTGGCGGCGCCGGCAATCCATCCCTGGATGAGCTCTGAGTGCGGCCGCCACGAGCGTGAGAGCCAAGTGATGAACGTCCTTCGCATGCCCCCTGCCGCGGGACTACGTGATTCTCTCGCTTTTGCCCTTTGACCGCACTCTGCAACGTTGTCCTTCCTTCTCTAAGACACTCCTTCCCTCTCCCTTTATTCCCCTTGCGCCCGAGGTGTCGGCACGTCTCCCAGTAAGGATGAATATCCCACAGACAGGCACGCACGAACACACCGAACAAAAAACACAGGATAGCAACGAATTTGCCGCCTGTGTGTTGCAAGGCACACACATACACACATACAAAAAAAGAAAATAGATGCAGTGAACACAAAACCTACAAGTGTTCGGTACATTGGACACACACACACACACACACCACAGGAGCAGAAGCAGCACGCAAAAACATACCAAACAAATACACTCACACAATTTCTCGTCTATGCCAAACACTACTACTCCACTTGTTTCATGTCGCCACGAAGAATTGTCGGCAGGCTCGGCGGGGGCGGCGCGAACTTCTGCCGCGGCGCCCGCTCCGCCCGCATCACCGCCTGCACCGTGAAGACGCCGGACACCACTGCCAGCGCATTGCAGCCGAGCAGCGCCGCGGACAAGGCGAGGTCGAGCCGCATGACGTACGTCTGGAGCCACATGTAGTAAACGGCACCCACCGCCGCCACCAGCAGTAGGGCGATGGCGAGGCACGTGGTGCGCACCTCCTCCATAAGGTTTCCCCGTACCCCGAGCGAGACAGCGGCGACGTCCACGAGAAGCACAAGGACTGCTGCGGTGATCTCGACTGGCAGCGCAGCCGGAGGAAACTGCAGCACCCTTCCCTTGAAGGTAAGCAGCGCCACCGTCACGATGCACCAGACAACGCACCAGCAGCAGGAGAACCACAACAGAAGGTGGAAGGACAGTGAGGCACCACCACCCACCGGGGCAGAGGTGGGGTCCATCTGACCCTATATCAGTGCCTGCGACTACTTTACCGGAGCCGGCAAGTAAGAAAGCTAAGCGAATGGTGTGTGCCTGGGGAGAGAAAGAGAGAAAAAAAAATCATCTTTTTGAACGGGCACGCGTTTAGAAGTAGGATCACGTCGCACATACGCCTCTGCACGTGTGCCCACACACATACGCACAGAGCCTTGCAGACATCGATTTGCTTTAATCGGCACTCTTCAATTAACTCTTACAATCGTCTCCCGGATTCTTTTCATATTTCCTCGTCACTGTCATCTGAGTCCCCTTCGCGCGTCGGCACCCGTGTAGAACGCCGCAGGACTGATCGTCGCTCGCGCTCCCGCATTCGACCAATGCGCTCACGTTCCTGTTGCTTTAGCGCCGCCACCTTCCGCTGCTTCAGCTGGCGGATGTCCAGACCACGCAGGGGCTTTAGCTCCTCGTCTGAGTCCTCCTCGTCTACAAAGGCATACTTACTCGGCACTAAATCCTTCCCTGCACGCTCGGCCCCGTCAATCTCTTCCCCCTCTTCATCCATCACTTGTTCTTCTTCCTCTTCCTCGTCGTTGTTGCCATCCGTTCTTTCCTGCTTCTCCCTGCATTCGTCATCATGGCCGTTGCCCGCGAGTGCTGGGTGCCTCTGGCACTTCGCGCAGCAGACCGTCGCTGCCGCGCACTTTTGGCAGATGCGGTGGTACGCTAGCACCACTGTCTTCTCCTGGCAACTGTTGCACTTGCGGTGCCGCTCCAGCAAAATGTACTTGCCGTAGTCCACTTTCCACTGAAGGATGTCACAGCAGCGGCGACAGCACAAACTTGTCATGGTGGTGACCACGGCAGCCGGCAGCCGCTGGTCTTCCAACTTATAGCGGTAAGGGTCAAACTTTACTTTGTTCATGTGCACCTGCTGCGGCCCCCGCGCCCCGTTCTTTACGAGACGCTTGCCAGGCATCTCTCCCGCCACGTCGCTGCGCGCAGAGAGGAAAACAAGAGAAAGTGCAGTGTGAGGGAAAGAGAAGGATATGTTTACTGCACGAAAACACGGCGGGCATACAAGAAGAGAGAAAACGCAGACACAAAAAGAATGCAATTGCAAGACAGCACTTCGCACGTCAGGAAAGCCCAACGTCCGCTGCCAGAGTAGGTGTGTCCACGTAGAGCGCAAGCTGCGAAATGGTGCTGCAGTTGGCCAGTTCGACCCACTCCCACAGCACGCTTACCTCCCCGCCGCCGGCGCGGTGCGACACGAACCCAGCAATCACGCCAAAGCTGCACGGGTCCAGTACGCACCGCTCCACCACTGCCGACGGTCCCGCAGATGTGGTGGGAAACGCAGAGGAGTTTCTGGGCACGCCGCAGGCTTGTTGTCCGCCGCGTGCCCAACACAGGAGAGCAGCAAGAAGATCCTCCTCAGGGCACTGTGTGGGGGCCTCGTCGTTGCGGTCACGAAGGTACTTCACTACGTCGTCCTTGAGGAACAGTATGCACCCACAGCGAGTGGTCGCGGTGCCCGGCTCCTCGCCACCGCGTTTCTGCCACAGCTCGGAATTGGTAAGAGTCCTGACAGTGCTCCCTCTGCAGAAAACCCAGCGTCCGACAAACATACCAAGGAGCCTATGGGCAAACCGAAGAAAAAGAAGAAAAGAAAAACAATTCAGAAATGCAGAAATGCCCTTCACAGAAAAAGCAAGGGAAAGTGATCTTTCTCCTAGATGCGGTTGTTTAATATGTGTGCATATCTCTTTTCAGCTAAACTCTACCCTCGGTTAGTTTACACTTCGCCCATCCGCGCCTATGAAACACAGCAAAAACAAGAACTCGACGGGGGAAAAATGAAACAGTACCAACAACGGAATAACCATAATAATGATAATAAAAACAATGACCCATGAGGGGAGCAGCTGGCGTCCATGCGGTAGCACGTTGCTGTCGCCACGGTCGCGCCAAACCACTGAGGGCAGTCACATTCGCAAGGGCACACACCTCGATGACGAAGCCATCCTCCGTGCACAGCTTGCCGGTTTCTCCGCTGCCACCCATAGAACCGAACCTCGCCACCAGTCGGTGCTTGCCCCACAAGCCATCAGAAACATCCTGCGGCAAATATAATCTTTGCATTGATTACTTCTCATTGAAAAAGGATACCTCCGAGATTTGGTCACCAGGCACATGACAGGCGTTGGCGGAGTCAAGGACAAAGGCAGCCATGAGTGCTTGAGGACGCTCACGCAATAACTTTTCCCAACCGTTTCCATCAAAAACCTTCACATGCCGGGTAACAACCTGGTTCTTCTTTTCAACTGGGTCCGTCCACAGCTCGCAATGTGCCCTTAAAAATTTCAATTCCTTGTCCATATCCGCCATGAGGGCCTCCAAGGCAACATTAACTCCATTCACACCTTTTAGTTGAACCAAAATATCAAGCAATTCTCCCTCTAACGCCGACACGGCTTCATCTTTCTCAGCCGTCACATCCAGCAGAGAACGCTCCAACTGGTCTACCCTTGACTGTAACGCACTCTTAGCCGCTTCAAATTCCAACATCTGCAGACGTGCATCACCAGCAACCTTCTCCTTCTCCGCAACAGCCTTTTCCAGATCAATGGAAAGTTCCTCATTTTTCCCCTTCATACATTCAAGATCCTTCAAAAGCGTATCCAATTCATCAGCCAGCTTTCGGTTCTCGGAACACTTCTGCTCGAGCTCCTCAGCCAGCCTCTCATTCTCGGCATTCTTCTGCTCCAGCTCCTCAGCCAGCTTCTCATTCTCAGCACACTTCTGCTCCAGCTCCTCAGCCAGCTTCTCATTCTCAGCACACTTCTGCTCCAGCTCCTCAGCCAGCTTCTCATTCTCGGCATTCTTCTGCTCCAGCTCCTCAGCCAACCTCTCAATATCATCTTTCAATTTGCTAAGTTCGTCATTCTTTTGCTCCAGCTCTCCCAGTCCTCGATCGTTTTCGGCAGCTTTTTCCTGCAGTTCCTCAGCCAGCCTCTCATTCTCAGCACACTTCTGCTCCAGCTCCTCAGCCAGCTTCTCATTCTCAGCACACTTCTGCTCCAGCTCCTCAGCCAGCTTCTCATTCTCGGCACACTTCTGCTCGAGCTCCCTGGATATGTTTTCTGCTTCTTCCATTAGGCGGTCGATTTCAGCATCTTTTTGTTGGTTTTCATTTGCCAGTGTTTTAATTTCGGCTGCCTTTTGTTTAATTGCTTCGTTCAGATTCTCAAGTTCTTTTGCGGACCTTTGGTTCTCTTGAGTTTTTTGGTCTAGCTCTTTTTCTAGTTTGCTATTTTGTGCAAAGAGCCTTTCTATTTCATTTTGTGCCTGCGTGAGAGCGTCGTGCTTGCTGCGCATATGTTCCGCGATGCTTTTGTTTTCCGCTGCAGCTTCTTGTAATTGGTTGTTGAATGTTTCCATGTCATCGTAAGCCTGCTGTAGCTGCTGCCGGAGTACGTCATTTTCTTGCTGCAATTGGTTACACCGTTGTCTGTGGTCCGAGTACTCGTCCATGGTGACCGAGAGCAATGGTTCGGCGGCTATTGTATCTGGGTCGATAAACTCTTCAGGAGTCGCGCATTGTGAGGGAATAGGCTGCAGTGTGGGCTCGAGGGAGCGTGTCTCATGTGCAGCGCGTCGTTTGTCGCGGTGAGAAGCAAGTTCGCTTCCCTGTTTTGCAATGAGTCGCCGAAGATCTTCATTTTCTTTTTCTTTATCCTGTAGAGCGGCAAGGGTCGCCTTGTTATCGCTGATTGCATTTTCAAGCTGTGTCTGGAGGTCCTGGATGTCTCTGTCGCGCGCCTCGATGCCGTCCAGTGCCTCTTTTTCCGAGAGTTTTACGGAGTCCAGCAAGTCGCCTAGTCGTTCTAAGTTTTGCTGTGTTTCAGCGCATTCGGCGTTCTTCTTTTCTACTTCGTCTTGTGCCTGGCGCAGATCACGCTTCAGCTGCTCAATCTCTTCCGTCATCTTGTCCCTCTCTTCTGTTGTTTCATTGAGTCGAGCAACGACATTGTGGTAGGCCTCCTGGAGTTCCTCTAGCTGGTGCTGCAAGCGTGCGATCTCCTTCTCCGCCTCTTCACACTGCGCCATCTGCTCGTGGAGCTCATCAAGGGTCACACAGTAAAGGGGCTCTGCTGTATTGTCACCCTTGAACGTCGACAGGTTGCGCTGCGTGCGCATCTGGTTCGCCTGGTTCTTTTGCAGTTTAAAGAGCTCCAGTTCATCTGCTTGGTTGTCAGTCAATTCTTTCAGTTTCTTGACGAGTTCGCGCAGACGATCGATCTCCGCGCTGAGCTCGCTGTTACGCTGCCGCAGCGCCTCTTGCTCCCGCATCGTTGTTGCTGTCTGCCGGCGGAACTCCTCCGCGGACTTTTCAAGCGTGTACTGTAGCGAGCGGTTCTCGCTGTGAATCTTGTCCAGAAGCATAAGCAAATCGCCAATCTCGCTTTCGTACGCGTCCTTGTCTCCGAGGTGGCTCCTACCAGCGAGCTCCTCGATGAATTCGGCAAAGCCAAATCCGCGGAAGTTGTTCTCTGCCAAATCTAGTGCACGACACGTCTCCACTATCGCGTGGTCAAGGCCCACCTTGGGGGCCTGCAGCTCGCGGTGCAGCCGCTCCATCGCACGTGGCGGGAACTCTTTGAGGCGCTTCTCCACCAGCCTCGTCGTCTCCGCCACAGGGTGGCGGACCTCAAATACTGCGTGAAGGCCGTCCGGGTTGACGCTGAAGGTGACGTTCTCAATACAGTTATCGGGTACATGGCATGCGAGAGCCTGCTCAGCCTTGAACGTGGACAGGACCTCTTCTGGCTTGTTTTCGAGGACAGTCACCCAGTCCTTGCCGTTGTATGACTTGCTGTGTTTGGTAGTCACTGCTGGACCGTCATCGTAGAGCCAACGCTCGTCATGGATTCCTAGCTTGTCGATGTCGTCCCGCAGCTCCTTGATTGTGTCGGCTGAGTCAACGTCGCACGCCCGAAACACTTCGTCGCCGCGACTACGAAGCATATTTGAGAGATGGTGCTCCAGCAGGTACATCCGCTTTTCCTCAAGTTCGGCAGTATACATCGCGAGGCAGTGGAGCTCTGCTGTGGTTTCCAGGCAATCTCTAGTCATCTGCTGCAGCTCGTCCTTGAGCTGGAAGCGCATCGACTTGGCGTCGTCGAGGACAGCGTCGACCTCATCGTCCGTGAGCACGCAATCCGACATGGCGGAGTCAATGGGCACCACTGAAATGACAGCAGAACACGGGATGGTCGTCTGCACGGATGTTCTCGTGAATGACATCACCTGTCCCCGCGTCGCGGAGGTGCAACCACGGGACAACTCCTCCTTAAGCTTCACGATCTTCATCCGACAGGCCTTCATGCTGGTAATGGCGCCGCCGATGGCGACGTTTTGCGCTTGCACCCGCATGTCACTTGTGAGCCGACTGTGCGCTTGCTGGTACGCGAGCGCGCTCAGCACCCACTTGTGCAGGGTACTGATCGCCTCCGAGTCACGCTCAGCTACGACAGACGAGAAGCGCGCTTCGCCCAGCGTTGCGAAAATCGTCTCAGCTGCTGGATACACGTGGCCGGCGATGTCGGCGTGGATGAGTGACAGGACGGCGTCCGGCTTGCGATACTCCATTTGTATGTCGTTCCACGCGAGACAGTCATTGATGGTTGGGTCGTTCTTCGCCACCGCAAGCACAGCCTTCAGCACCGCCACCGCCACCGGTGACGGCCGCGCCAGCGCTGTCACCTCGCGCATGTGCACCTCGTCAACGCCCTCCACGTCTTCCCTTGCCGCATCGAAGACAGACCGTGCGGCGGACACGCGGTCTTCGTTCTCGCTGCGGATGGCAGCCAGCTTGTCACGCGCGGCGGAGAGCTGGTCCTGGAAGATTTTCATACGTTTCATCTCCTTCGCGACCTCGTTCGATATTACGCTCTTCAGTGTGTCATGATTACCCTCGTGGATGCCCCACTGCTCCACGACGGCGGTGTATTCCGTGAGCGACACCACCGTGCCAAGTGTCCACTGCCAGTGCTCGCCGCTGTGCAGGTAGTCGTACGCCACGACATGGCCCGGCTCCAGCCGCGGTGGATCCCTCCTGAGGGTGGCGAGAAGTGTCATCTCTGCTCGTGCAGGATGCCCCACTTCACACTCACTCTCTCTCTCTCTCCCTCCTCCTCTTCTGTTAGTTCTCTTCTAGCTGCAGAAGCCACCCAAAGCTATCACACACACACAGAAACAGAGACCTAGATCACTGCTTCTCTTTGATATGTGTTATGCGCGGCCCTCTGAAAAAAAAAAGTCCACACACGTAATAAACTCCGCTCGGTCAGATTTTAAATTTCTGTCGACAGAAGTAAGTGAGGATGTGTTGACGTGTGAAGTGCAGAGACCAGCACAAACCACAAACACACGCCCAGGAGTTTAAAAACAAATGATGCAATATCGCACTCCTTTTCTTGTCTCTTTTTTTTCTCTTAGGCTCACCTACTTGAACCTACTCGGAAAAGTCACACAATTCACTACGCCGCGACAAAAAAAAATAATTCTGGCAAGTATGCTGTTGGCGGAACACACAGGGACAACAGTCTCGAGCGGGCTTCCTCTACCTCAAAGAAAAAATATACTCCTTTTTTCTGTGTGTGTTTGCACTTTTTTTAGGCGCTTGTTTGAGTGGTGCCTGACACTACTCTTTTTTTCCGCGCTCAAATTGTGGCTGTGCCTCTTGTCCCTACTGCTACTCCTGCTGCTTTTGCTGGTGTGGCTATTGTTGTTATGTATCTCCTTTTACTTGGAAAACACAACACACACACACACGCAGAAGTCAAGTATGTATAGCTGGCGCTATCGAGTGAGTTTGTCTATTGCACCTCCACTTGCCTTGCAGACGTCTGCTTCCACTATGGAAATATCACCTTCCACACCTGACGATGGTAACGCTAATGATAATATAGATTGTTCTCCCTTCCTTGTTATACACCTTCGCCTTTTCGTCTTCACTTTCTTCTGTCACGCAAATAATCTTTTCTTTGTTTGCTTCCTCTTTTCCCAGGTACAGCAAGAGACACATACATACAGAAAGGAAAACGAAAACAAAACCAAAAAAAAAGAAAATCCGTAGAGCACACCGGTACCAACAGACACCAGCGAATAATAACAAATTTGGCAGGCAAAATCATTAGACACAAAACATCACTGCACCACAAACACTCTGCACAGAGGCTGCTCACCGTTGCCCACGCCTCCGCACCCCAGGGAAGCTGCCCACACACCAATCGAAACACTTCGCACCGCCCCTTGCAAGTGAGCAGCTGCATATGCGGCCGGAACAAACAAGCCGAAGGCTCGCATTCCATGCGCAAGACAAAAGCCTAACTGACAGAATCTAATCGGCTCATTGCTCACCTAAACGTGCTTTTCAAACTAACAGCGGCTATGCTCCTCTCTTAGCAGCCAAAACCGAATGAACAAATCCGAAAGGGGGAAAGGGGCAAGCAACGAGGGATATTCCGTTCTGTCCTCAAGCCCCAGAGAGAGAGACGCCCAAACGCATCTTGTTCCAGGAGCGAACTTCTTGCACCCACCAGTGCTTTTTCAGGGTGCTCCATTTACCGCTTGATGCAAACAAACTTAAAAGAAAAAAATAGATAAAAAACGCAAATGAGTAAACCATATTATATATTATTTGTCTCGTACAACATAGAAATAGACCCATAACTCTAGCGAAGAGGCGGAGCTCTCGGTGCTAAGGGACGCAGATAAAGAGCGGTTGGTACATCGTTCTCGGTGAGTGAAAACCACCCGGCCGCGAACATCAACGTTCTAGTCAAATAACGGAAATGATGCCCAGACAATTGTCGGTTTGTTTGCCACATATTTAAAGCACTCACCTTGCTATTTATCATTTGTTCTCTGGTCTCTCTTTGTGTTTGGGAAAACCATCTGCTGAAAATCAAAGGAAGTCATATATGACGACAGTTTTTTTTTGTTTATGCCCATCCCAACTTATGCTGCATGACGATATGAAACATATGTCCGTCCCACATTCACGTAATATATTTCATAGGAAGCAGTGAAAAACAGTTTTCACCAACACGGTGTTCTTTGTGCGTTTGTCGCGTTATAATTGTCCTTCACTTCAATGCCTGCATTGCCATATGAATGTATATATATACCGCTTTGCCTTTGTCGGAAACACTACGGATCACGGAATTCCTGCTCTCAAATGCCAACGAATTTCTGCTAGATGGATTTAGAGGTTTCTTATGCTGCCATAGTGATAGTTTTATTGGCACATACTCACATTCATCGTTGGGACAGGTCTTCTCACGTTCCAGAAACATCTCCCCAAAAAAGCAAGGCCCAATTTTTTCACTGTATTCTTTTAGGAGGGTTTTTTTTTTTGCGTAGCTGAAGTAATTCGTCGTATTTATTATGTATCAAGCAGATTTAGAGAAATCATAGGGAAAACTTATTGGTTCTAAGAAAGCTTTATCATTGCACTACGACACTCATTTCCGACGTTTTCTTGTTGACAAAAACATTTCTTCAGGTTAGACGCAAAAATTTTTCTTTCAAGGATGTCAACGACACTCACGTGAAGCTATCTGCGGCAGCCACCGAGAATAAAGATCTTGAAATGCCTACAGTTAGGCAAGCATCGCCGAATGCAACCGTCTCCAGAAAAAAAGTCTGTGTTTTACTTCTGCTAAAGAGAAAAAAAAAGATAAGAGTAATACATTGTCGTTTTGCTTTGTTTCGTTCTTCGTCACATGAGAAAAAAACTCCTTACCACGAGGAAAAAGATTGAAGACCTTCCGTTGCGGTTCATTTACAACTTATGAAATGGAAGAGCTGAAAGCGTCCTTAACCCGCCACCCACGGAGGAGGCGAAGAGGGTTGAGCTGGGTGGGCTTTCAAAACTTACTTAATTTACCACAAGCCGTAATTAAAATCATAAATGAATCAAATATGTACTATTGTGTTAGCACTGTAACAGCGTAATTTGCCAGGCCATTTCCGTCGCATTGTGCCAAAAAAAAAAACGTTATTAGTATGCACCTTGAAACTGCATGTTCTAGTTTGCTTCTACAACGCAAACAGCAAGCGAAACAACTACGTAAGAAGGCGCATCCCATATTCATGTGTCTCGAGGTACGGCCGTGACGAGAAAAATGTCAACAACTTCCTCAGCATGCGGGACCCCGTATGAGTAGCTATGAAGTGATATATCTAGAGTTCCTTTATTCACAATACACCACAGCAAAGCGTCAATACTAGGGGGCGGGGGCATGCAAAAAATTTGAAAAGGAAGTCAAAACATTTGTTTTTCCCCACGTCCAACGAAATAGTCTAGGAAAATAGCAAATAAAAAAGAAGACAAAAAAAGATGGGACCTCTTTTTATTGATTTCCGTCTTTTTTTATAATATATCAAGAAAAAAGAAGTCTACCACATTGCGGGATTCCCAACTGAAGTTTCCTTTGTACCCAGCAATGATTTCCTTCGCATAGCATTCCATAGATTCACTGCCATATTCCGTCAGATCTTCATGCTTCATAACCAAGGATACATATTTGACCTTTCGGAACTGGTGGCGATCCCTGGACAAGAAAAAAAGGCACCATAAGCTTCATAATTGGCAGAGACGTAAACCACACAGCACAGCAAATAACAAAAAGTTTCACTATCTGTTTTGTAATATCACCTCCACAGTAATAAATCCGGTCATATGTTGCACTAACTGATATTTACATTCGGGCTTTTGTTTCAGATGTCAACCAACCCCCCGGGACTTTTGGAGAATACAAGCTTTTCTGACGTTATTGGTAAAAAAATATTCGAGCAATATTATGCCAACGGAATGACATGATTAGCCAACTTATGGTTGCAAAATTGATATCGGTTACCTCCAGAAATCTCAGTGACTCATCCTCCCAATACAAGCAAACCGTTGCAAAGGCTTATAGTTTATGCCGGCATTAT